TGTTGGTGCTGTGGAAAAGAAATTGGCAGCCGCACGTATGTGATGTTGCTGTGAGAGAAAAACGAAAAGGTGTATTTGCTTGGGTGGAGGGAAATGTTTTTGAATTTCGCTTTGAGTTCTTTGCCTGAAAAGGTGTGCTCTCCATGATGCCAAATCAGTGTGAGATGCACTAAACCTTGTGCCCAAAGTGCTATTTGCTTGTCAACAAACGGAACATGATAAACAAAGAAGTTGAGCGCCTGCAAAAGTTTAAAAAGGTGGGTGAAAAGCTGGCTTTGCTGTACACAGCCATTGCTATGGCAGTTCATTGTTTCTGTCACTAGTCAGGCAGCCTGCAGTGCCGCCGCTGCAACGATCTGAGACAACGATTTGTTGCTGGCCTTCTCTGCCAAGTTGTAGGGAAGCCCCCATTTGATAGCCAAGGCACGGAGGTCGCCCAGGTCTTTGCTTTTGAGCCCTTTGTGGTGTTCCACAACTTGCTTGACGTACTTGTCGAGCTGGGAAGCCTTCTCCTTGTCCATGTGCTTCTTGATGTTTTCAAGCCATTGTTGCATGGCTTTGTCGGTGGTGGCTGAAGGAGGGTCCTCAAGAGCTTGCTTGGGGTGGTGGATAGCATCAACCTCAAGCAGTTGGACCTTGCGTTTCTTTGCGGGATGCACTGATGAGCCTGGTTCTGAATTCGCTTCTCCTGGTTTCTCCCCTGTGGTGGTATGCTTCTCCGGAGTCAAAACAACTCCTTTGGCTCGGAACCGAGCATTCTCTGCCTCTAAGCTTTGGATTTTCTTCAAGGCGGTGCAATCTTGGGCGACCGGGTGGAGCTCATCCAAAAGACTCATGATTTTGTCCACAAGCGGTGTCATGAAGTCGATGGCATGTTCATGTTTGCTGGGGGGTGGTGTGTTGCTGTCAGCACAAATGCGTTCAGCAATGGCATCAATATTGTATTTCTTTTCCCTGATCTTCTTGAACAACCCTGCAGCGAACACTGCTTCTGATGTGGATCGGGCCCACACTGGCGTGACAAAGGACCCTTGAGACAAAACTCGAAGCGCATGTTCTTCCCAGCCGTTCTTGGTGATGTCCACGATGCTTATGTCTTCCACCGGGCGGCCCGCTAGTTGCCGCTTTCGGGACCAATTGGTGGGTTGAACTTTGCGGTGGAGTTTGTACCCATATTTCTCACGGTTGTCTAAGAACTCCTCATCAGCCTGAAAGTCTGAAGGAACCGGAGTCTGGGTGATGCTGGCGGATGGCTTGGTCTGATCCCACTTTGACTCTGGCTGGCTCTGATCCCATGAGTTCTTGTGGCTGTCTGACCATGATCCCCAGGAATTGTTTGGGTTCCAATTGGGCCAAGAAGAGCCGGACTTGTTCCACGCCATTGATGAGGCACGGTTTGCACTGCAGATCGAAACGCAGGTCTGACAAAAAAGGGGCTACATCAGAGTCGCAAAAATGACTGCTGCTGGCTCAAAATTTGAATGGGCTTGTGGCTTGTGAAACCTTTTTCACAAAGTAAGTTCAACGTTTATATTCTGTAGTGCCCTTGCTGGAAGGTGAAACTAACGTCACATGATGGAAGGCGACAAAGCTGCTAGCGATGCCGTGAGTCTCATACTTATCAAGGTGCATGATCACAGTCGGATACAGTTGTTAAGCTGCAAGGCAAAGCTGCAAAGCTGCAAGACAAAGCTGCATTGCTGTCACATTAAGCTGCAAAGCTGAAGACAAAACTGCAAAACTGCAAGTTTGCAAGAGAAAACTGCAAAACTGCAAGACAAAGCTGCACGGTCACACTGTCAAGCTGCAAATTTGTACGTCTGCAAAACCAAGCTGCAATGCTGCCAGTCGTGTCTCTCGACCCTATCCCTTGTTCTCAAGTCAATATACTTAAAAATCAAAGACCCCCCAAAAAAACAAACCGCGAGTCAAAGTTTCGGGGCGTTGGATTACGTGGCGAGAATGCGGAAAGGCAAAGCCCGCAATTATGCGAACGAACTCGTCGACCAGGTAAACCAGTAAACCCAAGGAAAGCTGGGTGGGAAATGGTTGGAAACAACCCCCCAAAAAATACGACGTCGGTTCTCGAGCGCGGGGAATCCGCGTGGCACCGCCGCAGGTAGAGTATCATTGCAAATCAATTTGGATCTACTTCCAAGCAACCAAGAAATGCCCAAACAAAAATAAAAAGAAAAAACACAGAAAAAAGGAAAAACAAAAAGAAGAAACCAAAGACGGCAAACGGTGACCTGTTGGGGGCAGTAGAAAGAAAAAACCAATGGTTTGGTGGTTCTGCCAAAAAAAAAACGTTGACAGCATGTCAGAGACATCCGCCCAATGATGCATTTTCCATGGTACACAGTCGGTCTCAAGGACTGCAGGCACTAAACCGCGACTTCAACACATCAACAGACAAACAGCCAAGTGCCCAGGGGGTGCGAACAAACTGGAAATGGAAACATTAAACAGGGTGATGACATGGTTCGTGTGCCTGACGTAACTGCCAAGGTCTAGTTCGGAAACAGGAAAACGCAAATCGTCACAACGTCCATTTTTTGCTGGGGATGCCGGGCTGGAATTGAATCATAGCAATGTTTTTGGTTGGCAAGGCAGTTTGCCCCGCTTTGAAATCTTAGAGTGCTGTACAATTGCTTCATTTCAAAAAACGGCCAAAGGTCACTGGGAATGCGATGCCCAAAATGCAATGTCTTTTCGTGTGGCAGCAGTAACATTTGTTGTTATGGTCACGAACTACATCTCCTGGAAATTCACTAGCTAGGTCATGAACGTGTCCTTGGTCACCTTGTGCATCTAGTGCCCCACCAAACGTAGCTAGGTCCAACGTTGTTCGAATTCCTCCAGAACAATTCTTCTGTAGTGATCCCCACGCCAACCCTACTATCACAAATGAAGTCTGGTGCTTGGCTAAAGCGGTAGTTTTTGCCACTGTGCGAGCGATGCCGGGGAGCTCTTCAAAGTCTTCACCCCACATATTGGGTTCTGCAGAATAAACTTCGTTGCCCTGGCAGCAAAACGCTTGGCTTCGCGGGTTGTCCTTGATACTTTCTCGAATTTTTCCTTCGTTGAGAATAGACACGGCATTTTCTTCCCTTGTTGCGTGACCAAAAAAGAGTAGTCGATTTCGTCTGCTGGTCAAAGGTGGCTGTTTTGTGTTGAAAGCTTTGAATAAAACCAAAGCAAAATTGCATGGTTTCAAATGTTCACCTTCTTGTGGTTCAAAGTGTAGGAGCAAACTGTGTTGCAAATCTTGTGGTGCCAGTCTACTTTTTGCCAAAATTGAAGCGACTTCATGAAAATTCTTCTTGTCAATCTCAAATTGCTTGGGAAAAAGCCCGTCAAGCTTATCTGCAATTGTAATTGTTTTGGTGTTCGGAGGTGTCTGCGGTATGTTTGAATGCAAAAGGGTGGTAAAAGTGCTGGGTGACATCGTTTGCCGAGGGCTTCTGCTTCGTTGTGGTTGTGGGTGTTGCTGTCGCGGTGGTGGTAGTGATGCAGATTTTGATCCCAGTTGAAAACTTTGTGCTTGGTCACGTGTCAATGGTAATGTAGGTGCTGGTGGTGGCTGGAGTTTTTGCTTCACTTGCTGTAAAAAAGAAATGGTTGGTGTTGCTGCTGGTTTGTAGTTGGGCCCGGGATCAAAAGGTTGCAGAATAGGCTGGGCTGGCAAGTGTGTTTGCTTGGTTTGTCCTGGAGCTGGTGGAGGTGGCAACGGGCTTGGTGGGTAAACGAATGCTCGCGGTAAGTTGTTGAGAGGATGTAGATCTTGATGTAGCGCGTTCGCAACTGATGCCCGAGAGGTACTCGATGTTGCTGCCGATTGCGTTGACATAGCCCGCTGGTTCAACGGTAGCAGCTTCGGAGTGAAGATAGTGAACGACATTGCTGGCCGGATAGGTTAAACAATAATGTGAGCTCACACATTAAAGAAACTGTTCCACTTTTCAACAGATTAACGTAACTTCCCGAAAAGCCTGAACAACTGAGTTTAAAAAACGAAACAACCTAACAACCCCACAAACAAACACATAAGCCCTTCAAAAATTCCGGACAACTCCTAGACGTCACCGGGGCACTAGTCTCCAAAGTAAAAGTAAAAGTAACTGGGGCGGCGTTTGTGGTGGCTCCAAAAAATGTTGAAAACCCAAACCAAAATGGAAAACAGTGGAAGGCCATAAAAATTGGAACCAGGGGACGTATGAACGGTTGTGAGGTGTGAACATTTAACTTGGGAAATTCATTGTGGTTGGAAGCATGAAATATGCCAACAAATGGTCTGAGAATGCTGAAACGGCACAGCAAATGGAGAAAAATAGCTCGATCTCGCTTGCATTCTCGTTTCTAACTGTGCTCGTGCAAGCACTCTTACAACAGTGTCGTTCCGAAAGCAAAAGGTGCATTCAAATACCAGGTTTGGAAAAAAACACAAAAATCCAGGATCGAGTAGAAAGGAAATTGCCAAGATTCATGTGTGTGTCACCGACGCTGGTTGGTTGCCCTCCAAACAAGCAAAAACAATCCACACCGCTGCGACCAAAGCATCCCACATACACAAACATAAACAAAAACAAACAGACGTTAACACACACACACATGCATCAGAACAAACATACCGAGGGAAAGAGGAGGAGGGAAGAAGATGGTGCTGAATGATGAAAGTGAAGATGATGAGAAATGACTGCGTGCCTAGTCCTCGACCTTGAAGGTAAACCAGGAGAAAAGCGAGATGAATCAAGCTTTTCAGAAACCAGTTGGAAACCAAAGGATGTTCACACACTGGGGTAGTAGAGAAACGAGCTGGAATAAATCTGAGCCATGCTCGAAAAGTTAACAGAAAAATCTCATAGACAGCGGCGCTTGCGCTTAAACTGGTAAAGTTGGAGGGGAAAAAACCCCAAAACTTGGAATTTGGGAGGAGAGCGTTTTGCACACTATCCAAAACTGTTGAACTTGAGAGGGCAAGCCTTCTCTAAACCGGCACAATGGCCAAGGTGGGATAAATCCCAAACTACTTGAGCATAAAGCTCCACCTCGTCGCCCTCCCTTGCAGACTTTGGGGAGAGTTCAGTAGCCGACTCGACGGAGCGAAAACGGCCCGCATCTGACACACTTGTAGTGTTACCGCTGAGCGGCCCCCAGTCTTATGCGAACATCCTGATCCAATCGCAGATCTTTTGGAGTTCTTTATGCATAGCCGGAGTTTTGTCGCGCTGGCCAGTTAAACTGGCGCAGGGATGAAAATGAAAGAAATCTGTCTCTGTCTCTTTGCAGTTTCGGATGCTCTGCTGGGTTTCCTCATCAGGATGCCCAAGCCCAGCAGAGTGGGCACCGACTGCTTCTCTTGTCTCTCTTTGTTTCTTTGCGCGAAATGGATGATGATGACATGAAACCAGAGGTGAAAGAGGGAACAAGGAAAGGTAAGAACAGGACATGCATTCCCTTGGCTAACAGGGTTCCGCACACACACACACTTTGTGCGAGCCTGCGCAGTCGAAATGCATGTCAACATTGCAGAAGAGCCACTTCATACGGAAATTCACAGGTAAAATGGTGCAGACCAGAATGACGAGCCCAGAACGAGACAAGCCTGCGGAGTCGAAATGCATGTCAACATTGCAGAAGAGCCACTTAATACGGACATTTACAGGTAAAATGCCGTAGACCAAACTCGCGGCCCACACTTTGTGCGAGCCTGCGCAGTCGAAATGCATGTCAACATTGCAGAAGAGCCACTTTATACGGACATTTACAGGTAAAATGCCGCAGGCTAAACTCGCGGCCCACACTTTGTGCGAGCCTGCGCAGTCGAAATGCATGTCAACATTGCAGAAGAGACATTTTATACGGAAATTCGCAGGTAAAGGGCCGCAGACCAGAGAGAGCACCCTGATCAAGCACCGGCCTTTACACCTACCGTAAGAACTGTGGACAAATCCCATGAAATCCCGAGAAAATCTTCATAAAATCGACAAAAAATCCTCAGGAAATTTCCCATCTCCAGGAGTCAATTGTGGCCTCCGCCTCGGCGGAGAACCGGGCGCTGAAGCGACGAGTTCCCTTGGCGGCATCGTCGGTTGACCATTTTTGACCAGCCAAACTTGGTGATTTGATGGTGATTTCGGTGGTTTGATGGTGATTTCATGGTTTTATTGGATTCTTACTGGAATTTCATTGGATTCTTATTGGATTGTTTATAATATTTTCATAAGATTATATCAGACTACACAGATACAAAGGGTGTTTCTTAAAATGGAGGATCCCAAAAACCATGTGTTTCAATACTAAGTGGTTTTTCATGACTTGGACAATTTGGGGGTACCCTGACGACTTCGGAAACTTCCATATAATTAGGGCATCTTGTTGACTCCAATCAGTTTGCGTAGTCGGTTTTTAAATATATATAGTTATAGCTAACTTGGTCAGTAACTAAGTGGTTTTGCGAAGTTCGCAGACACCGAATTAATTACCTAGTAACTTTGCGAACTGTTCTGGAAAAGGCTAGGACAACTAGTTCATTCTAACAACTAGGGCCTTAAATGGGGATCTTTATGGATTTGTTATCCATGTTTGACAGCTAAGTTGTTTGAATTTACTCCAATCAGTTAGCCAAGCTAGCAAAGTTGGTTAACGTCGTTAAAATGTAGTTAGCCGTAGCGTAGCCATTAAAAACAGAGGATGTTTTTTTACCCCAAAAAAATGATTTGTATTAGTTGCACTGTAGTTGGCTAAGCGGGTATAAACATCACTCAAACAACTGTCGGGGTTGTCGTCAATATCTACAGTCAGTGGGTTGCAAATATCAGCAAACATAAGTGGGGATTTTCACATGTTGCAACAAGCAATTTGATGGACATACAATGGGATTTAAACTTAAAATGGACATGACAGTATATATATATATAATTTATAATATAATATTTATATAGTATAATATAATATAATATAACAATATCTCATATAATATATAATATAATATAATATAATATAATATTATGTAATATTTTAATTAATATTTAATATATCATATATGACTTATAATATTAATATATAATAAACTTTGATATAATACAATAGAATATAATATAATATAATGTAATGTAATAGAACAATATAGTATAGTATAGTATAGTAAAGTATTGTATAGTATTGTATAGTATAGTATCGTATAGTATAGTATATTATATTTTATATTTGTGACATATATTTCCAACAATATCCGTGGTTTGAGTCGTATTGTTTATCTCCCATGAAGCCCAATTAGGTGATCTTTTCTCCTGGGATGATCCGAAAAATATCCAGGCGATGGGACCCATGGTGAAGTCAAACTTAGATCATTGTCCACTGATGTATAAGAGACACACAATAGAGAAGACTTCAAAACATATTCCATGGATATGCTCCCCAGTAGATATGTTGCCCAGTTTTACCAGCTTTGAACCGGATTGTTCCATAAGTTTTGAGTTTTACCCCACGTAGAAATTTGAGTTTCACCCCAATTATACCACATTATACCTACCTGCATCTCCCCCGCCCTTCCGGTCTTGGGGGAAATCTAAAGGAACCCCCAGGATTACTCTCCAAAATTGATCAACGTGTCCTCGAAACGTTCACTTACATCCACCCATTCTGAAACCTTATTACAGTATATAAGTGGTTGGTTTCCCCATCATATCCCCATGATAATACATGTCCCTATCAAATCTGTTGATTTCCCCTGATAGGTGTCCCCAACAAGATCCCAAAAATTTGGAAGCCTCGAACTTGTGGAGACAACATGAGACAACATTACTTTTACTATCCTGGACGTACGTTTCCATCTCCTACACTGTGGGCCCCCATAGATACCTAGGTTAATTTATAACAACTATAACTATGGTTACTGATACTTATAACATCTTATACGTATTGTTAATGGGGTTTATAAACCAACTTAATTATGACCGGGGGGCCACATTGTATCAACCACTCCATTTACAGCTGATTTGACTCCAAGGTCCGGCAAAGACTTCACAAGAGACTTGGAGCGATGCTGCCACCTGAGGACTTGTGCGGAGGGGTGCCACGATTGCTTTCATGGGTAAATAATGGCCTTTTTTTCTTAAAGTACTTGGAAATGATGGGAAATGGGAGGTTTTAACCATCAAATATGGGTTATCATGGCAGTGAAACTCAGCGTCGTCTCGAATTTGCCCCAGATCCGAAGTTTCTGGTGATTTTTCTTCATCCCAAACTATAGCTGGTTGGTGGTTTGGAACAGTCATTAATAATGGTTACTAATAGTTAATAATGGGATTAATAATGGGATAGTTTCCCAAAGTATCATCTGTAAACATTGGACAAATCATAGGACAATATGGGAAAATCTCCTACACATGGTGGTTTCAGCGGGACAATCATCTACTGGTTGGTGGTGACTGGAACCATGGAATTTTATGACTGTCCATTCAGTTGGGAATGTCATCATCCCAACTGACTTGTTGAAACCACCAACCAGTATAGTTTCAGGACGATGAATAGATATGTCCAGAAACTATAGTTCCATCAATCATAGATCCACCTATCTATGGTGATTTTGGGGATGGTGTTTGGCTTGTTTTAGCCACATTGTCCAGAGACTAGCTTCGATGGACACCTTGATGCTGGCGGCTGCAGGAGTTTGAACAGGCCACCCAACGCTTCCGCGACATGGAAATGGCCACCAAAGGTGGGCCCTGGCAGCGAGAAGTTCACGGTGAATCCCGGTGAATGCGTTGTGAAAAGCCAGAATGATTGGAGTTGTGAAATGGCGTTCATTTGATTTTTCAATATTTTTCAGGCATCAAAATTGGATTCTATTTGGCTAGCCTATTTTCAAAGAACCCCCATATATATATGTATTATATTATATTATATGTACACACATTTCTGGCCGATGTCATTTGACAACATGGTGAAATTCTTAGGGCTAAGGATCCCAATTCATAGCCGAGCTGTTCAGGTAGAATAAGTCTCCATAAAATGGGCACACGCCCGGGTTGCCCGGGTTTGGTCATTTGAACAGCAGAATACAAGGTGGTAGGTGTCCCAGTTCGGAATCGCTAATTTTTGTTGTTTTCACTCCAATCACCAGACTTTATGGATGTCTATACTAGATGTCTGGAACATTCTGGAACTATAAACTGGGTAACATAGACCAAGAAAGATTTCATCACGGGGCACTACTATGATGTAGCATCGATGTCACATGACCTTGTCAAGAGTTGGTTGAAGGGCCGAAGGGAACATTTACAGGAAACCCTGCATAGTTTGAAGTCAAAACTCATTTTGTTCTGCACATTTCCATTGATTCCATTATTTATTGGTTCGATTTCTAATTTTGGATGGTTCAATCAGTTAAATCTAATTTTGTCATGGCGACAAGTTTCTGAGTTTCAATGATCTTTTTGTGAAATACGATTTGGACCGCCTTTGCCTTTGCAGGGAACGAGGAGTATCATTGTGAGGAGGCTGGTCTGCAGGGGCTGCAGTGTTGTTGAATCCCTTCACCCGTTTTAAACACCGCCCAGAAATCATGGTTTAGCAGAGGCTGAAATTACATGTTGAGACCATAGAATGAGGGTGTAGCTCCAGTTATGCCATTGAAAAATAGGGCACAATACAGTAATGATAAACTCTGAGCTAAATCTTGGTGTAGCCAAATTTGCACTTACCAGACCAATTTGTGCAGTTTTTTGAGTGTTGGTACAGGAAGCGGCTGCAGGTGAGGTTTGTTGGTTTACAACTTTATCTAGCTATAGATGTATCCACCATACATCTTGCCTATGGCTGTGTTTTCATGAGGGTAGCAGGCTGGTAGGTCAGAGAGACGAAACTTGAGGCTTCAATTCGCTTCGACATGTTTTTCGGTATACCACTTGGATTTCGGTTCGCATGTAGGGCCAGTGTGGGGCTTTGAATCGGGGAGATCTTGGATGATCTATCTCTTCACCAATCTCGGACAACGAATCTCAGCCAGGACTTTTCCAATTATTCCCCCTGGTTTGCTGGGAGCTAAGCGTGCCAGAAGCAGCAGGTGATACTGCCTGCCTTGAACCATGCAGCTGCAGATGATAGTTCCTTAGCCCCAGCAAAAGCACTACTTGTTTTTTAAATAGCATCTGACAAGACAAGGAATTAGGGAACCAGCCCCACATGGTTTTGTTTCAGGTCAGTGAATTACTACGCCAGATTCATTCTATAGAACTGATTATTATGTAAAGACCACCTATGTGATGCTATTGGAAGTCAGCATGTTGGTTTTGGAACATGGTTAGAACTCTTTCAATACTTTTGATTCAGATCATACCTTACAAGGGGGTTCTGCACATAGACGACTCAACATTGTGAAGCGACAAATGCATTTTATAAATATACATAGCCTCACACCAGTGCACTACATCTGTTTATTTTTGTACAATAATGTATCTTACATATACATGAATGTGTACCTTTTATACACATACAGAAAACTGAAGATCCATAATACGTCATAATACATATAGATGTAATATTAATTATATATATATGTAATACATACGTTACATGTCCAGAATTCGCGTCAAGTGTGTCTTATCCATGACGAATGTTCGAGGTGATGGATGGCAATGCTATGGTGATCCCTCCGTGGATTCAAGCGCTTCCTTGTCAAGGAGAAAAGAGCGTCGGCCTTGCTACCTGTAGTGATCCTGGTTGGTGCTTTGGAACCCCTATGGATCCAAGTACCTTCTTAGGAAGTGTTTGGGGTATAATTTACTGTGGTTTGGAGGCTTAAGTACCTTCTCAGACAGTGTTTGGATCCATAGGGAACATGAATTTTAGTTTCCCATATATTAGGAATGGCATCATCCCAACTGACTTTCACTCCATCATTTTTCAGAGGGATTGAAACCACCAGGATCATTTTGCAAACCAATGGTAGATACAAACACAAACCAAACCAAACTAATCTAATCAGTAATACTGACAGTAATAATGAGATGATATGTAACATGGTGGTCGTATTTGGTTGCAGGTAGGGCTTTGGCACCCAAGAATTCAGGGGAAAAACTCTAAATCTAGCGCAGAATTTAGCGCAGCATAAATTAGCGTATAGACCGTATAGACCTAATATTTGGACTGCCATGTGTTTCTATCACAAATTTGATGATGATCTTCTGTCACTGAACAATCTTCAACGATTGAACATATTGAAACCACCGCCCAGCCCTGATTGATTTCACTGTTTTTTATTTTTAAGTCGTCCTTTCTGAGCAAAGTACTGAGAAAACCAGAAATATGGTATCTGGTGGTCATCCATCCCATGTTGCAAATATGAACTCACCGACTGCTTGGGGGGGCCCACTTAACAAATCAGTGAAAAAAAACAAGTTATGGAACTTCTTCACTTAGATGTGGGATGAAATATGGGTTACATACGGATAAACAACTTACTAAGTGGAATGCACATCCAACATCCACATCAACTATGCCAAAGCTGGCTCCCACAGTCCGGTCTCAGTAGAATTTGAACCCCTCAGTGGCTTGGCTTCCAAGCCACTGCCAGTGCAATCCCTGTTACCCTCTGGTAATTTGCTACATAGCTATTGAACATGGCCATTGAAATTGTGAGTTTTCCCATGAAAATAGCATGGTGGATCTTTCCAGTTCGTTATGTTTAACGTTTACCAGAGGGTAATCAAACTTACTTCATTGCAAGGAAAACCTGCTGGGATTTGAGGATTGTTCTGCAAATCCCAGCATGTTTCCATATTTTTCCCGGAAAAGAGACACTGGCATTGCCAATGCTGGAGGACAATTTGGAATGGAGAACGCCTGGTATGAGGCGAGAATTTTGAAACTGCATTCAAATTCCAATATCTTTGGTCAGAAGGATGAGCTCAGTTAGCTTTTATTTCTTTTCAGAGAGCTGGCTCAACCACCTGTGTTCGGTGCTGCCTGCAATATTCAGGGGGGATTATCATCCATAAAGATGTTACAATGTAGGCAACCCAACAACCTACCATGACCGGGGATGGTTTGAATACCAGCCATAAGTTTTTGAGAATTCGGAATCTATGGCATCTATGGCATCTATGGCATCTCACTGAATCGGAGGCCTATGATACCTCTGAACAATGCCTGGATTGGTGGTGTGATGGTGATCAGTATAGCCTGCTGCCTCAGACGGGCACAGGGGCAGGGTCAACACGCTGAAGTTCACTCGGGATTGATCATGAATTGACCTGTATCGATGTTCACGAGGCTTCGTTGGGGACTTTCACACACCAACTGTAAAATACGGCCAAAACCCAAGTCTCAATATCTTTTGAAATCAGCATTTGTTGAGAATTTTCAGGAGATTCACCAACCTGTAGTGTTTAACAAGAAGTTTCACCATCCCATGTTTGACGGTTACCCTTTTATAAAAAGGTGAATTTGGGAATGGTTTACTAATGTAACATGAAATTTATTATTTTTGATATGTTAAAAAAATACTAGGGCAAAAAAAGTTTACTATTGTTATAACATGTTGGATACCCACATTATTTTCGACACTCTTTGGATCATAACAAAAGCCCCAAAAACCATCGGCTGTCAGCTGGTCGTGGATTGCATAGGGGAGTTACATCACCTCTGCCCCGCTGCCCTGTGTCATCATATGCTGGGAAATCATCTGTAAACATTGGACAAATCATACAATGTGAGGCCCCCCAGTTGTAAGTTGGTTAACAAAAGCCCCAGTAACTATATTTGTAAGTACCATAAACCATAGTTATTGGAGTTGTAAACCAACTTAGCTATCTTGTGGGCCTCACATTGCAGGAAAATATGGGGAAATCTCCTACACATGGTGGTTTCAGGGGTACAATCATCTATAAATGGAGGTTGTTTTTTTCGTTCGCTGAGAAAATCATCGAACTGTCCAGCTTGCCTTGTGACTACCGGATGCTATGAATATCTATGAATCATGCCGGAGTTTCCTTGAACAGGCTTGGGCCATTGCCCAGCTCTAAAACCGAAAAGGTTTTAAGCATGGTTCACTTTGGTTTTAGCGATGTTATATGAGATTTTGCAGCAGGCTGTCACCTTAATAGTTCCCCACCTGCCAGGTGAGGGTTGTTAGATTTTATCAGAGCTGTTCTCCTCCTCCTCCGTCTCCTCCTCCATCTCCTCCTCGTCCTCCTCCTCGCAGTCCAGATCCCAGTGGGCACAGCCGGACCTCCACCGCGAGCTCCAGATTCGAGTGGGGAGTGCCGGACCTCCACCGTGAGCTCCAGATCCCAGTGGGCACGAGCTCCAGATCGCAGTGGGCACTGCCGCACCTCAACCGCGACTTCCAAGTCGCACTGGGCACTGCCGGACCTCAACCACGAGCTCCAGATCCCAGTGGGCACTGCCGGACTTCAACAGCCAGATAGAATGCCAGAAGATATGCCAGATAGAATGCCAAAAGATATGTCAGATAGAATGCCAGAAGACATGCCAGATAGGATGCCAGAAGATTTGCCAGATAGAATGCCAGAAGATATGCCAGAAGATATGCCAGAACATATGCCAGAAGGTATGCCAGATAGAATGCCAGAAGATATGTCAGATAGAATGCCAGAAGATTTGCCAGATAGAATGCCAGAAGATATGCCAGAACATATGCCAGAAGATATGCCAGATATAATGCCAGATAGAATGCCAGAAGATATGTCAGATAGAATGCCAGAAGATATGTCAGATAGAATGCCAGAAGATATGCCCGATGGAATGCCAGAAGATTTGCCAGATAGAATGCCAGAAGATACGCCAGAAGATATGCCAGAAGATATGCCAGATAGAATGCCGGATAGAATGCCAGAAGATATGTCATATAGAATGCCAGAAGATATGCCAGATAGAATGCCGGATAGAATGCCAGAAGATATGTCATATAGAATGCCAGAAGATTTGCCAGATAGAATGCCAGAACATATGCCAGAAGATATGTCAGATAGAATGCCAGAAGATTTGCCAGATAGAATGCCAGAAGATATGCCAGATTATATGCCAGAAGATATGCCAGATAGACTGCCAGATAGAATGCCAGAAGATATGTCAGATAGAATGCCAGAAGATTTGCCAGTAAGAAAATGTATAAATGCCATGGTGGGGATCATTCGAAGTGAAGTATTTTTTCTATAAATATTTCCGATTTTAACGGATTTTTCCAATAAAACCTCCAGGTACAGGGGAATTCCTTTGTATTAAAGAGGATCATCATGACTTGTGACTCAACTACACGCTTGAAACAGACATCACAGGCAGGCCAGGGGACACAAAGGCTCTATGTGCAGTGACCTAAACAGCAAGCTTGAGGATTGGTTGTATCCGATGGGTTTGGATTTTCAGCCATCCGAACATTGGAACATCATGGAAAGTCAATGGAAAGTCAATGGAACATCATAAGAACACTGGTTGGTGGTTCGGAACATTTTTTATTTTTCCATATATTGGGAATTTCATCATCCCAACTGACGAACTCATATTTTTCAGAGGGGTAGGTCAACCACCAACCAGAACATGATGGAAACAAACACATGGAACATCAATGGAACATCAACAACAAACACCGACCACACATCCCCAAGGTGTCAGCTGTGGTCAGCATCAGGCACTGAGATATCTGGGAACGGGCTTGACACAGCCTGGCTTGACTTGAAGGATCCCAGAAATCTGGATATCCCCATTATGATATCCCCATGCTATCCCCATTATGAATGGATATAAAGGGTGATATTTGATGGGGATAGCATGGGGATCTAACATATCATCTGAATGAAATTGATCATGACCTCACGGTGATGCTTTTCACTGGAATGGGAATGGGATTCGGGGAAGAAACAAACCAAATAGTTTTATGATAGCAGCTATTTTCAGCTTAGTGAACTAGTATAATTCAGCTCGAAGAAATCCAAAGATCTGGTCATTGGAATGATGGGAATTGGATTGGGGTAACTATCCCCAAACGTCCGAACTTTTCAGGTTGGAGAATTGTGAAATCTTGTCAAGAAAGATGGGTGATGGCTCCTTTTGATCCTTTTCCCAATTGAATCAACTTTGATAACGAACGATTTTCCAGTTTTAAGAGTTTGCCGTGGCAAGATTGGATTTATAACTGTTCACGCGTCGTTGGCATGCAGGGACACTCTTGTTTGAAGCGTCCCAGGTGACGTTTGTCATTTCAAGGCATTTTGCACTTCGAAGCGCCACTTGCACCCAAATCTTCTTCGACCCTAGACTTGCGTAGCTGCTTCGGGAGGACGCTGTAGGTCAAAAGAAACAGAACAGGCCACCAGGGGAGTGCGCAAATTGCAGCATGTCTTGTGCAAACATCCACCGCAGTGCATGGAGTGGGCACTTCCCCAATGTGTATGCCCAACCCTATCACAGTGTCTGGATCTGGATTTTAGGATTTCTTTTGTTTTCTGTGCACGAATCCACCAAGACTAATGAACCCAAAAAAACAAAAACAAAAGAGCAGAAAGCCAAAAAAAACAAACAACCTAAATGACAGGACCCAACTCCCTGCATTTTCCCCCCTTGGGGGGTGCAACCTTGTTTTTTTTTGCACACTTGTTTGGGTCTTTAGTTTCATTAGAAAATCCCGTAAAAACCGTGGAAAAATGCAGGTATCATTGGGGGAAGCTCAGGGGCTTGGGGCATGTATTAGGCAATGTTGTCTTTGATTTATGTCTCAAAATATGCCAAACGATGCCAAAACATAGGCAGCCAAATGCCAATGAGTTTGTAGAACTGAGTGTGATATTGACATTGTCGAGTCAAACCCTTCAATCAACACATGTTCAAACACTTAGACTTAGATGATTTCCTTGAAAGGAGCTTTACACCTCTTTGAAATAAGTGCTCCCTTCAACATGTGCACGTGTTTTCAAATGGTAGAGCATCCCATTTATGTAGCACATGTCTACTTCTATGCCAAAATCACTCCTCTTGCGCATGCAATGTCCTGTTCACAATCAGTTGTATTTTTCAAATAAAAACACATGGTAAAGCATGTAAAATAGGTCCTTTAAAATTGCATGTCATTTCTATGAATACATCATGTGATATTCTTCCAAGACAGCGACACATATTTTGAGAATAACATCCTTTGATGTAGGCAGCTCTCCCTTGGAAAGTATTTTACAGTAATTTGAAGAATGTGCATCTTTGATTCCTAAGACAATGAAACATTATTTGAACATGTACAAACATATAGTAGTATACGGTATGCATGCAGCACTTTTTTGAAAGGGTATCGTCGTTCTTGAAGAGTATAATCTGTTGTTTGTGCAACATCCCCTTGATATGAGTGAGATATTTGATTATATATTATCATTGGATAGTATTGAACACATGTCTTTTACTGAGGGTTGGCTCTTTAAACCAGAGTAAATGAAGGCTGGGCTGACCAAGGGAACAGTACATATGTCAAACAAAAGCAATCCAGTTTTCCTAGAATGCTGCTTCTTCATAGGAAGATTGTGTTGGCATACAGGACCATGCTGTAAGAAACGAAGAGCATTCTTTGATCATGCCCACATGTTCAAGCAAAATTATTAGACTTTTGAGAGGGGTGTTCTATGTCAGAAATACTGGATATTTTGCAGACATATTGCCTTTTCTGAAAGGGATGGAAGGTTAGACATTAGGACATGCGCACTGCATTCCTTCAAAGGGCATCGTGTATATTTAGAAGGAATACTTCTTATTTTGTAGGGATATTGTTCCTGCAAAAACACACTGCATTGCTCCAAAGGAAGATTAAACTCATTAAGAAGGGTACGCTGCATTCCTGCCTTGAATATTGCATTTGTTGGCAGGTATGAGTAGGTATGTTGCAATTATGCTGAAGACATAATATATCATACCGCGCAGAACGTGTGTTTTGTTAAAGGGGCACTATTTTTATCTGAGGTAGAATGAACACCTGGACACTTCTTCAAGCAATACATACTCTCTAGTGGACATGCACACATCTTCATTTGCAGCTTAAGCGTTAACAAGTGATTACAGTTTTGAAGAAACAATGATCAAAGTGCACTCCCACAGCGGCCAGCTCTCAAAAGAAAACATACACGATGCAGTGTTGTTGGCACACAAAGATCCCAGCATTCTTGCTTGCACCCTCACACCAGTTGATTCATTTTCTTGGGTTTCGGTTCGGGAGTTTCCAATCCATGGGGGTACCCCAAAATCATCCAAGTCATTGGGCCATAGTCATAGTAATAAAAAAACAACAACCATGGTACCTTGGAGCCTTGGGGATCCCCCAGCCAAATCAATCGATATGCAGGCCATTGCTTCACTGGCCGCGAGCAACAGCCCCGCGAGTTCCGTCGTGAGTTCCAAAGGTGGGAGTCGGAGTCGGCGGAGTTTCGGGCAAGGGTGAGACAAGTTCTGCCCATATAGGAAATTTCGTGGGTTTGTTTAAGGTGATTTTTTATTTTCCCAATGGAAAATCCACCGTTTGGGGAATCTATAGTGAACATGTTTCCCCACCTGCCATGTGAGGGTTGTTAGATTTTATCAGAGCTGTTCTCTTCCTCCTCGACTAGCTCTCCTCTTCCTCCTTCTCCTTCTCCTCCGCCTCCTCCTTCTCCTCCGCCTGTTTCTCCTCGACCATGTCTGCATCAACTTCCACCTCAACTTCCGCCTTGCCAACTCTTCGCCAAGCTCATTGCCAACTTCCCAGCTCAGTGTGCGCCGCTGGACCTCAACCTGGGAACTTCCTGGGACCTTCCGAGCTCAGTGTGCGCCGCTGGACCTCAACCGGAGACCTTCCCAGCTCAGTGACCTTCCCAGCTCAGTGTGCACCGCTGGACCTCAACCTGGGACCTTCCGAGCTCAGTGTGCGCCGCTGGACTTCAACCGGGGACCTTCCCAGCTCAGTGTGCACCGCTGGACCTCAACCGGGGACCTTCCCAGCTCAGTGTGCACCAGTGCACCGCTGGACCTCAACCTGGGACCTGCCCAGCTCAGTGTGCACCGCTGGACCTCAACGGCCAGATAGAATGCCAGAAGAGATGCCAGATAGAATGTCAGATAAAATGCCAGAAGATACGCCAGATAAAATGCCATGAGATATGCCAGATAGAGTGCCAGAAGATATGCCAGATAAAATGCCAGAAGATATGCCAGATAAAGTGCCAGAATGTTTGCCAGATAGAATGCCAGAAGATTTGCCAGATAGAATGCCAGATAGGATGTCAGAAGATATGCCAGAACATATGCCAGAAAATATGCCAGATAGAATGCCAGAAGGTATGCCAGATAGAATGTCAGATAGAATGCCGGAAGGTATGCCGGAATGTTTGCCAGATAGAATGCCAGAAGATTTGCCCGATAGGATGGCAGAAGATATGCCAGGAGATATGCCAGATAGAATGCCACGTAGACTTCCAGAAGATATGCCAGAAGGTATGCCAGAGAGAATGCCAAGTAGAATGCCAGAAGATATGCCAGATAGAATGCCAGATCGAATGCCAGAAGATATGCCAGATAGAATGTCAGAAGATTTGCCAGTAACAAAACGTATAAATGTCATGGTGGGGATCACACGAAGTAAAGTAATTTATTTTTTTGGGACCCCTTAAGCAAATCCAAGATAGTATAGGTTAAAAAAAACAAATAGAACATAATATGCATACCTAGACCCTCCGTTTGTACCCTGAAAAGCCGATGATGTTCCTACTTTTACATTTTTGGGAGTATTTGGAGGGTCTGAGTAAACACATTCTAGTAATCCCATGGAACTTGGGGATTGCTGTAAGATTACTATAATGGTTCTACAGTGAGATTCTACTGTAAATGGTCTGAGTATATTTCTAGATATAATGCTTGGTAAATGGGTTGACCATTATATTCTCTAATGGGATCTATAATGGTCTAATACTATAATAGGACTACTATTTCATATTACTTTCATGGGCTTCGAATAGGATATTGACGAGGCTTTAATGTGAAGATGAGGTAAACCAATGCCATAAACAATCCCCAAAAACGAGGTTTCTGAAATTGGGAGCATGGTAAGGCTACTTATTGGGATGATGTAGAATGCTCGAAACAGTCGATGAAACTCACTTGGGGGTCACTTGAAGATGACAAAAAATGATAGATGTTACACAACACAAAGTAACGCGAACACATGTGAACAGATCTAAGACCTTCGTTTCACTTTTACCATGTTTAGTTTAATTTTGATGTGTTTACCACAGAGATTTCTGGTGGAATGAGAGGAACTTGGGGACTTAACATGATTTAACATGATTTAACATGATTTAAGCATCTAGAGTGGGGATTCATCATGGCAATGGGTGCAAAGAATTAGCCCGGCTGATACCCTTCAGTCAGTGTCATCATGGGAAATCACCTTCCGATGGATGCGCTACACCGGTAAGCCCAAACATGAGGGGGTCGCTGTTGATGATGTTTACTACCAATTTCATCCAATTTCTGGTCAACTTGGAGATGGTCGATTCTTAAATTTGCCACAGTACTATAGGGGATACTTCGACCCTCAGTTGACCCATAAAACTTATGGAAAGAGTTGGAAATGGTGTGCTGAATACCTTTTTCTATGGGTGCATTGAAGTAATTTTTTTCGGATTCGCCAATATACATGTGGAAAACCAAATGAAGAGCGCCAATTGGAGCCGGTGTATCGGTGTATATCACCCCTTTGAGCCACTGCTTCACGATTACCAAATTATGAACTGTCGCAACACTTTACGAATGGGCGATTGTGACTTCCTAAACTCGGTGTATATTCCCATTTGCAACGATTCATACCAGAGTAATGTAGCCTCTGAGCGTCAAACCTGACAATCGGACATCTATTTTATATATATATATATATATATATATCGAGGTTTTTCCCAGCTGTAAGTGTCAAACCTCCATTTATTAAAGGATTTTCCAGCCACTTGACCAGAGGGTATCAGTTCTGGACTGATTTTCTGGCACTGATCACACTGGCTGCGGGAATTCCCGAAGCCATGAAGGTGAACAGTTCGGAAAATCACCGAAGATCCAATGGGGAATTGTCCAGCAAGCTTTGATTACCTTAAAAGGGTAGTGAGAATGTCTGAAAGGAGTGTACTGTAATACTGGAAATGTCATGGGATATCTATATCTATATCTCTACATATAACAGTAGTACCGCACAAGGCGGTGGCGGAAGTTTCAAAAATAGGAAACCTATAGGAGAAGTTGGTTGTTGTGAATCAGGGATGGCAGAGCGAAGCCACTGATTGACCGAAAGGTGGTTGGAGTTGT